AGGTTGTGTTAAAAAAGTGTGTAGTCGAATAGCGCCACGTTTGATGGATTAAGGTATTCGACCTGAAGATAACCAAACAAAAAATTATCCGAGATGAAATGCGATATCCTGGCGTAATCTTTGAGAATTTGACCCAGCTATGTTTCTCCTCTATGCAATAATTATTTCTATTTTAAAAATATTAGTGACTCATAGATGGCGCTATAGCCTACTATATACTCCTATAGTTGGCTACAGCCAGTTCTTGGAAAGAGGCCAACCTTGGTGGCCGAAACGTCGTCATTAGAAAGTTATTCAAGCATATGTAAGTTGATTTAGCAGCCAGACAATGGAGTCCAAGTCAAAGTCGAGTTGAAGTATGTGCCGTCGGATTGCTTTTAGTGAGAACAGTGCCTTTAATGTCAGATTCAGTGCATAAAGATATGAACAAAAGTTCAAAAAATGGGGCCAAACACGTTCAAATAAATTAGAAGCAGCAAATCCTATATGGTTACATTGCGTTGTTTGTCGCCAAATTGCGTAGTTTTAGTACATATTTATGTTTCATTTGACTATCATTGCCTACCAAAGTGACAACGTTGTATTACTATAATAATAATTCTAACCAGTAAAAAATCTACCTGCCCTTTTTGCAAATTATACAAGAAGTACCATGTCCTGAAATCGTCTAACAACACAGTTATCAAAAAACACTCGCACTTTGAAAAAATAATGCTGAGAATACGAATTCAGTGGCAGAACTGTCAAAAAATTCACTTATTTGTTTGTTTGTTTAATGCTTCTAAAAAACTAAACAATTACATAAATTTGCATCTCTAAGAATTTTCACTGTCCATGAAATATTCCTTTCATTTTCTTTTAAGCATCTTTAAATTACAAGTAACTTTATATCATTATACAGTTTATTAAATTCAAGTAATCCTTTCTGAAATATTGATTTGCTAGTTATATTACTATTGCAATTTTGTAAATGAAAATATATATTTCCTCTTGTATAATAATTGTGGTAATGATTATTCAATTCTATGTAGTGTTCTAAATGCTGTGGCAAAAGATGATTTTTTACTTTAAATATAAAAGTAAGAATGAAATATGATATGAAATTTTTTATATTCAACCACTACAATTCTTGTTACATAGATTTTATTTTGGTGTACTTATTTTTATTCAATATTATTTTCATAGCTTTATTTTGCAAGACTTGTAATTTTGAGAATGCAGCTTCATTGGCAGTGAAAAAGATAGTTGAACAATATAGTAAATGCGGTAGAATAATTGTATTATAAACTGTTTTCTTGGAATGGGTACCAAGACTATGAGAAGCCCTATAAAAGTAATTTGTTTTTTTTTTTTGGCAATTTTTGAAATAATCTTGTATTCATAGTGATCCTCAAACTTTAGTTTACTATCAATATATATATATATATATATATATACCTAAATATTTAATTGATAGTGTGATAGTATTTTCATTTAGGTATTTTCCTATTAGCATACATTTTGTTTTAAGGTGGGTACTGACCAATGATACGAGGCGTAATGTAACATGTTACACAGCGAGCATTCATGCAGTCAGTACGTAGTGTTACGGGAAAATCAGCGAGCGACGAGCCGCTCGTTGCTCGCTTTGAGTGCTCCACCCGGCTGTCGGTTTTTCGGCGAATCCTTTGTGTGTTACGCGGTTCGGTCAGTTCGCTGCAACAAGTCGTGACGAGCGCACCAGAGGAGCGCACGCGCACACGTTGTTCATTTCGTTTATTTGTTCGTCTATTATTAGGAATATGAAGTGGAACAAAAAAAAACTCTCTATTTCATCGAAAAATATAGAGAAGAATCGGTATTGTGGAGTCCACCTCATCCAGAGCACTACAACAAATTAAAAAAAGAAGACGCCTGGGATAGATTGGCTTTGTTAATGGAGAGCGAAAGAAATACGTGTAAAACGAAAATGACAAGCTTACTGGCGTCATTGAGGAGGGAAAAAGGGAAAATAAAAAGATCAAGTGGTACAGGAAAGGGTAGGTAATTATTTTTATATTTTTTAAGTTCCTATAATACAGTACGATTAGCCCCCAAATACTCCACATTTTAAAGTTAAGTTGTATGTCAAATTATGCTGCCACGTGTCAGATTCAAAGACAAAACGAGGGCAGCATTAGTTTAAGAACAACATAAATAAAATAAATATAGGTATGTTTTATATTCCAAAAATACTTTATTTTCAGGTGCTGAAGAAGTATACCATAGTACTTGGTTTGCATACAAAAGTATGATGTTTCTACTGGATAGAAATACACCTGTTGCCACAACAGATACGGTAAGTTTTATTTTAAGCATAATTTTCTTGCCAGCTGACAGACCCTTCTTGGATGCAATATTCAGCAACTTCATTACGAATATTGTGAGCAGTTCTTGAAGCCCTTCGCGGTCTTATTTCCAAGGGTAACATACTCGCCATATCATTGTTACTTTCTCTCCAGTTTCCTAATCTGACTATCCCATTTGTTTCTTCGTCCAAGCTACCCGCAGGGGTTTATACATGAGCGTTATTACCTTTTCTTAAAAAATTGTGAAATAGTGTTATTGCTGTAACGAGATGTCGCGGTTTTTGGTTCTAACAGCATTGGTTTCCGCAAAACTCTAAAAACTGCAGATAATAAGCCGAACGCATTTTCCACCACTCTATGAGCTCTGCAAAGTCGGTAGTTGTATATTCTTTCTTTAGAACCACGTTATATATACTTTCATCATATTTTCGGATAGAGCAAAAGCGCTTCATCTCCAACAAAGTAAAATGGATCTTCTTCCGTTCTTGCTGGCAAGGCAGTGGGTTCAGGAATGTTCAGTGCATTATTTTGTATTTTTTCGTTCAATTCACAGTGTGTTGAAGACCCCTCCATCGGATATTCTTTCTTGACATCCAATGTTTACGTACAAAAAGTTATATTTTGCATCAACAACTGCCAATGATACAATGCTGAAGAATATAATAAAAGTCACTTCCGCTGTTGATCGGTGCCCGCAGTATAATATGTTTTCCATCGATTGCGCCTAGGCAGTGTGGAAAATTCCACAAAGTATCATACTCATTTGCTACAGCCATCCATTGCTCCGGTGTTTCTGGCATCTGAAATAATGATTTACGTTTATTTTCAGCTACGCGCTGGTCCTTCAGAACAAAGCAACACTGAGTGCCCTCCATCTGCCAAACCAAGCAACATTGATTGCTCTCTGCCTACAAAAAGGAATAAAGCAGTAGCCCCCAACCCGGAAGAGATAATGGCATCTACTTTAAATATTTTAAAAAAGAGAACCGAGCAAACGGAGTCAACTTCACGAATGTGAAGCCTATGGTATTTTTTTGGCAAATAAATTAAGATCTTATTCAAAGACAACAAGAACATATGTTCAGCATTACATATCAAATATATTGTTTAGTGCTGATCGCGGAGAATATGAGTATGTTGGCGATTATAACTATTCTTCACAAGGATACTCTACACGACCAACAACTTCAAGAGCTCCATCGATGCCACAGCAAAGCCCTGAATTACCTGCTTCACATACGCCTGATCAAACTGACTGTGGGTCTCCAGCTTCGAGTGAACAATTTCTATCAGAATTTTCTGATTTAACTTGATATGTAATGAATACTTTTTCTGGATTAATTGAAACAGTACCTACCTTTGCGTAATCTTTTAATACTCCAATCAAAGCTTCGCTGAGCTCTTTTACTATAAATCGTATCCGTTGCTTTGAAATCTTGAAAAGATATTGCATACTAGTGTAGGAATCTCCTGTAGCATAAAAACGTAGTGTTAGTGCCAATCTTTCCGTGACACTGATTGCTTCTCTATAATTTGTATCCTTTTTATGTACTTTTGGTCCAATTAAATTCACGAGTTCTTCAAAATCGATCGGAGACATGCGAACAAAGTTTTTATACTGTCCACTAACCACCCGATACGTGTCTGCTTTTGAATAAGTCTGACGTCCAATAACCTTTTTTCTTCTTCTTAATATGGATTAAACAATAATTTAGCAGAATCAAAGATCCCAACACAACCTCCTCGTCAGACATCTTGGCTGAGACTGTGCACTTATTTCAAACGAGCATGTTACAACCATTTCGAACACAATGCCTCCTAGCGTCGGTCAGTACCCACCTTTAGAAGTATTCAATTTTAGTTTATTTACATTTAACCAATTTACGACTTTTGCCAAGTCAGAATTTGGCATTTTTTAAATATTTTCATCTGATATGTATATTAATGTGTCATCTGCAAATATCTGAAGTTTACAATAATCTAAAATATTACAAATCGCATTAATGTATAAAATAAATAGTAGTGGACCTAGTTTTCTACCTTGTGGTATACCAACAGAAATATTTTATGATCTTGATAATGTAGATCCAATTTTGATTTTTTGACTTCTGTCTACTTCTAGTATGCACTCACAACGTGACTACAGACTGAGGTTTTGGAGACAAACAAATCATAGGCTTGCTCGTTTTACTTAGTCTGAATTTGTTGATGGTTCCAGATATTTCAAAAAACTTCAACAGGCAATATTTAGGTACATTTAATCTGGCGTTAGGATGCCGATATTATGTTTTACTGATTTTCTGTTGAACATAGCAAACTAGTCAGCACAGACGCCGCTGGTGCGTTTCAGAACGCAATTTTGTACATGCTTATCCGACTTTTGATAATACATTTGTGTGTACCAGAATTCATCTGAGTAGGTATCCCATCTGTTTTAGAGAAATCTAAGGTAAACTATCAAAAAGGAACACGCTTAAATACTATTAAAAAGGTGAATCATTGCCTCATTTTTTCTGACAACATTCTGTAATACCCTGTAGGTAGAAATAAATAAACAAGTTTTGGTATGAAAGCATTTTGTAACTTAGGTTTTTGTAAACTTTAATATTGAGATCATGAAACCCATGTCTAAGTTCTATAATCCTGAATAACTTTGTATTTTTGTGCATTTAGTGATTCTAAAGAACTGCAGTCGTGGATAGACACGATAAACTTCGTATGTGCCAGTTTTTCGGCGCCACCACTGGAGGCAGCTGTAGGTTCACAGAAAAAATTTCAAAGGCCGCTGTTGCCATGTAGTCATACCAAATTGAATCTGGTAAGTATTTTGCATGTTTCCAATGCATTTTTTAGGTTAAATATAATTTTAATTCAAACACGATGCATAAGACTAAATTGTGTTTACCAAACTCTGGACAATATACCGGGAGCAAAATGCATACTTTGGGAAACTAAATCGATCACCGCACATGCATTAGATAGTGGCCTGGCGAAGTTGCAAACATTTCGCTGAGAGAGAATTGACAGTTGAAATTCAAATTGTTCCTAACCTCAACATCGACCAATGCTTTCGTTAATATCCGTTTATGTTTATATTACACGTATCAAGCATCCGCTAGGTGGCGCTATCGTTGCGCACCCAGTAAATAGAAGCACTTACTGTCGCACCACAGAGTTCTACCAAACGTCACCTGAAGTCATATGCGTTTCATAGGATTTCCGTTGCTACCAACTGTTACTGTGTCATTTAGTTTGACGTCTGACATTCTTGACGTCAAAGTAATGAAGTGTAGCCCCCTTGGGAAACGCGACAAATAATTGAGGGCTCGAAGATCAAAGGGAACGACATTAGCTGTCGCATCTGTATAATCTGTCGCCACACGCCAAACGAGGAACTGGAGAACTCTATGTTGCTTATGTTATATTACACTTTTTCCGAGTAGTTTTTAATGAAACATGAATATAGTGGTATATTTATGTTAAATATTGTTTTTAATCATCCAGAGAGAACAATTAACCGATCATGAGGAGAGAGTAATGAGACTGGAATCGATGCTCGAAGAGCACCGCAGAAGCCCACCCGAAAAAGGGGCAAAGTCGCAGGTGGTACAGAATTATAAAGAGAAGGAAGTTTATCTGAATTATGAGGTAAGAATTTTACTATAGAATTTATATGGCCGATCGGCTGACGGTGACTTTGAAAACAAGTGCTTGGATGCAAACATGACTAAAGTGTAGAGTGGAGTATAAAAGTTCTGTAAAAGGTGTCACTTTCTACATGTCACCTCCTGTCGAAAAATAATCACCTGCACTTCTATCAATGCATGTCCTGTTTTTCTCATGTTTTCCAAACATTTACGAAGAATTATATCCTTGTTAATTTTTTCGCCTTACGTGCACCAGTGAGCCTGTTTACAAAAAATATTTTTGCAGTTTAATAGACGTCAGAAATACTTTCGGTATTCCTAGTCCCAGATAAGTATATATTTTTTCAAGTATAGGTACTCTGGTTAACTTTTCAATTCAAAATTCACATAACTTTCCATCCACCCTAACAATATAATATTTTGGTATTTTTATAATCCTGGTGTTTGCTTTTTCTTTACTAATAAAAATGATTTTTAATATTTCCGCTGCGACTAATAGCCTAATCATATTAGCAAATTTCCCCGAATTATCATTATTTGTAATGATTGGTTTTATCAGTTCAAGTTGTATTTAAAACATGGGCATACAATAGATACACCAATATGTGTAGAAATATTCTTTATTCAACAGCAACGAATGAGAAAAAGCATTTTTGGAATTCAACCTCTGTTTAAATTATATGTTTAGGTACTTGAGAGACCTACAAGATAAGACTATACATAAAAAGATCCGATTAAAAACAAAAACGTTGCGGCCAAAAACCTGTCCATTCTAACCATACAAAATATACATAATTTGAGCATGTCTCGATAGTTCGTTTTACAAATACTATTGATTTACGCATTTTAACGGGAGATAGCCATCCTTATACTATATTCCCTTGACCAAAAAATTATCCCAGATGAAGTGAGATACCGTACCGTGATCTATGAGAACTTCTCACGGTTATATTTTTCATCTCCGGACTAATTAGAAATCTTCTAGAAAAGGTTAGTGAGTCGCAGATGGCGTTGTATCTAACTATATTAGAATATTAAGTGATTTTTTGAAAAAAATTATTCAAATATAATTACAATTTTAAACTAACCCTCAAAATAAATTTCTTCTGAAGCCGCACAGTGCTGGAGACAGTTCTTCCACTCCTCATAGCAATGTTGGAATTCCGATACTGGGATAGCCTTCAGCTGGTAGGTTACAGCCGTTTGAATGTTTTCGACTGTCCCTTGAGGTGATTTTTCAACTTCGAGAAGAGAAAAAAGTCACAAGGAATTAAGTCAGGCAAATAAGGAGGCTGAAGAGCCACGTGAATGTTTTTACTGTGTGACAAGGAGAATTATCGTCGTGATGCAACACCCAGTTGTTTTTGATCTGATGAACGATGTTGTGAGTCAAATTGTACTCTTCCCCGATCATTCTGACTGTCAAACGACGATATTAACGCACAATATCCCGGATTCTGTCAATATTTTTATCGGTTTTCGAAGATGCAAGGCGTTCTGCTTCGTGTTTCATCTCCAATGGACTCTCTCCCTCCTGAAAATGTCTTGAACCACCAAAAAATCTGGGCTCGTGACAAAACACTATCTCCTTAGGCCTTCTTAGCAAGAGTTTCCGTTACACTGTGCCCAAGTCTGAAGAAAAAACTGATAGCACACCGTTGCTTGAAATTGATGTCACTCATTTTTAGAAAAAGCTGTTTCACAAAAAAAATCGCTACGGATAACCAACTGACTCGAGCATGTTCAAACTTGTACTGAAGGTGGATCGCGGATCACATTTTCCATTTTTTCCCCTCGAAGTCCGGCGCTTCCAGTGTTGCCAGATCGAACGAACCGTTGCCAACCTTATCATTGAACGAGGTCGTATAGAATTAGATTAGCTTGGCTATCTTCAGGTAGAGTACGTCGAACAATGGCTGTATTTAAATAACGTAGAAAACACTTGAACATAAAAAGATAAACGGGTCCATGTGTCTAGATATCCATTTGAAACGAATATTTTCCTCTTCCAGTTAAAAAGGTACCGCACGTACACATACATCCTGCGCACGAAGCTGTCCCAGTATCTGGAGATGGGGGCGACGGTATCAGCCACGATGGGGGCGGGTGCTTGCCCCCCTGCCAGCTTAGCCGAGGTGGACGAAGGGCTACAACCGATGGCGGCGACTGTAGCGCAGCATACCGTAGGTGGACCCGAAACGGAGGCAGAACAGCAGCCCAAGTCGTCGCCCACGTCGGCGGTGAATAGGTACAGTTACAGGCAGGCGATATACAGCGGAGGCGGTGGTGGTCGGTAGAGGGGACGGGCACCTAAGGGATTAGGGTGTTAACAGTTGTTGGTAGAAAGATGTGGTGGGGTATGAGTCTATATTAGACTAGAAAGTTGCCGGATCTTGGGCATGACATGAAAACATGTTTTCAAATAGGCTACGGTCGTTAGTTTCCAAACGATCGACGGTCTTATGTAACTTGCGATTCGTATAAACTTAATTAGTTGCTTCCAGACTTTGATACAGAACCTATGATATTAAGATTTTTGAGGCATTTGATGGCGCGCGGGAACAAAACTAGTTCAGGCTGTCAAGTCAATTTTTCTACTTAGTTGAATGGGTATCCGGCCTCATATTTTTTCATTTCGCAGAAGTTTGACAAATGATCCAAACTACGAACCCTTTTAACATTATGACATAACTCTTCGTGCACCTGTCGATGCACAAATAATGCACTTAGTGCAAAACATATTGCAATATTTTTTTCAGTCGACAATATGTCCAGCAGAATGCGTTAATGGGAAAAAGTGCGTAAATAGTGCATCATAGTGGAAAACCTCACTAGTCGTCAGTAAGTATCAGTGCACTCATTTTATTTCATTTAGCGACATAAGACAGCGCGAAGCGCCATCCACCACTAAAATTGACCACTGCAAACAGTGAATCATTGCCAGCGGTTGGGACTGTATAGATCTCAGTCCGCGAATTAGAGGCACAGTCGTCACTTATCCGCTAGATGGCGATGATTCTAGCGGGGTAGTAGCTGTTCAATGGCAAGTAGACCACACCACATAGATGGTCTCCTTACCACTGAGCATCTACTACACAACTAAAGGGTTTTCCATTAAGGACTTGACAAATGCAAACCATTTGAGATATCTTGAAAATTTTATTATTGGATTGAAGTATACTCAAAACATTTATGTATGGAATTTGACCTCGTTCATATGTCCACCACGGGCATGTTCGCAGCGATCGATTCGTGAACCCAATTTTCAATGACTCGGCCACACATTTCGACAGAAATGGCCGCTATTTCAATATTGGCTCTGAGCTCTAACGACGCCGGCTTGTTGGCATAGACCAATGATTTAATGTAGCCCCACAAAAAAAGTCTACCGTCATCATCCTAAATAATACGATCTAGGCGGCCATTGGACAGGTCCATTTCTCGATATAACACGTTCATCGAATTTTGATTCACGCACTGTATGGCTTGCGGTACCGTTTTTGACCAAATGACCAAAAAATAACGTTGAAACATGTCTCTGTAGCGATTTCCGTTGACTGTAACGTGACGGTCATTTTCATCAACGAAAAAAAAAAAAACGGCCCAATGACACCACTGGCATGAAAACCACACCATACAGTTATTTTTTGTGAATGAACTGGTGTTTCTTGAAGTACATGACGATTTTCGCCTGACCAATAACTCATATTCTGTTTGTTGACGAAGCCGTGTAGCCAAAAATACTCCTCATCACTGAAGATGATTTTGCGATGATATTGATCATTTTCTTGCAACATTACTAGAGTCTAATTCAAGAACGTAGGTCGGTTCATATGATCTTGAGTTAATTTGATCTTATAAGGGTGCTGGCGAACATCTCTTCTCAAAATTCGGCATAGTGTGGTCTGAGCGAAGCCCAATTCTTGAGAAGGCCGTGGAAACGACGTGTTCTGTTCCTTTGCGACGGAAGCTTGAACGGCAGCAATATTCTCGGCACTTCGACCAACCCGTTGTCTCACTGGCACGGGAACATCCAGCAGCGAAAATGTGGACTCAAATTTTTTTACTAGACTATGAATTGCTTGTCTAGTGGGACGAGAATTACGACCAAAAACTGGCGCTCTTAAAGTTGCAGTCACCGACTCGGAATTTCGTTAGTAAATTTTAATTATTTGTAAGCGTTGTTCGTTCGTATACTTCACCATGATGAAAATGTTTTCTTTACTAAATGTGTTGACATTGACAGTTCGGTAATTGATTTAAAGGTGCGTTCACAGTGAAAGTTCAAAGTTGTCAAGTCCCTATTGGAAAACCCGATAGAATCGTTGCCATCTAGCGGTTTTGTGGTGACTCGGCCTCCAATTCGCGGACCGAGATCTATACAGTCCCAACCAGTAGTTACTATTCACTGTTTGCAGTGGGCGATAGTTCCTATGCTATTTGTTTTTCCCAGAGACCAACCCTACACCATGTTGATGAGTTGCCAATATGCATAAAACATCTGTTCATGGTTGGCTCTCTGTGCTCGGACCGACGAAAGCAGCATGTTAGCATGTAGTTAATTTTATTCACTTTTTCAAGGGATATTTCATTTTCTGCAAATCAGTACAATATGCATATTGTTAAATTTTGAAATTCATTTTACTACAAACATCTAAAATAGAGAGTTTCATTGCTGGCAATCGAACATGTAAAATAAAAATTTTCTAAGGTTCGATCGTAAAAGGTAAAAAAAAACGATGTAGCTAAAATGCTCGCTAAATATTAGTCAAGTGGTCAATGATTACGACATATATCTAACATTCATCTTTGGAGGAATTTCTGTGGCCATAAGAGCTCGGCACTTGCTGCGAAGCGCTGTCAGATGCAATTATGTCGCGTGACTGACACTGTATAGTCCTCTTCATGGTTTTTGGCGGTTACATCAACGACATACGTAATAAATAAGCAAATCAACTAATTGAACCATGTGCAGAGCTGAAACTTCATAGGAAAATTGCACACTAAGCAAACCGATCAGCTGATCTTGCGCACATGAATTGGTTAATAAAGAAGCATTACTCCAATAATTTTGACAAAAACTATCGATATTGTCCCTTAGTTGTATTTTCAGGTACTGTTGTTTTATATTACGTATATCAATAAAAGGCAAACTCAGAATGATACGCCCATGTCAAGTGGTGGTCCCACTGACAGTGGCAAGTACAGATTACTAATACACATATCTTGGCGAGAAAAACTTCGAGGTTTCGAGACGAAGCTAAAGCTTGAGCTTACACAAACAAACGTTCGCGCACAAAGGCAGATTGCATATGCACGTGTGAGGGAAATAGCTGTATAAAGGTGATGGGAATACTTTTAGTGTGACCCGCCAGAAACGGTGAAATGAACTATAGTTGTCTGCGGGATACATATTTTAAATAGTGCGCTTTGCACTAGCTAAGGGAAAATTCAAATATGGCATTGTAATATCTAGTGTCAAACATTTGATTCATACCTTTATAGATCGGAAAAAAGTACTACGTCTACTTGAAACCATGTTTTTGTCTTATGCCTAAGGATCCAGACTCATCTGATGTGAAAGATAGTGGAGCTTTCCTGTAAAGATAAAGATCCATGTTAGCTTTAATTGGCGTACGCTCTGTGAATATTACTGAAAATGGAACATCAAAAAGTCCATTTAATGCACTTTCACAAGAAATTCGACTACGTTAAATTCCATCACAGTACTTTTTGAAAGGCTTACAACGATATAATAAAAGCTTTAGGGGAAAGAAACTATAAACATATTTATAATATGCATAGGTATCACACGAAAATGTACAATCATATTTTAAAGCCGATTGTACGGTATGCAGAATGAAACTAAAAATCCACAAATTTTTATCTCCAGTAAGCCTAACTTGAAAGATAAATATTTTCGTACTCAGAGCGATGCAAACAACAATGACAGTGTTTCTAGAGCAGAAACCAAAAATTTCTGTAAACATGGATTCTAAGATGTTACCAACATGCAAGGTGTTATGCATTTCTACGCCACTAATAAGACTTATTAAGGACAAAACAAATATTAATTAATTGCCAGTTGTTTTTGCTTAAGTACAAAGATTGCACCAGATACATTTATGAGATCTATTGATCTGAAATTTCTGGTAATATTTACAGAGTTTGTAGCAATTTTTAGTCATATGGAATCTTTTAAACATATTTTTCAACAGCAAAAATCAAACGAAAAGTGGATGACCACAAAAACAAATTCTATAAGTCCAAGTAGGAGTAGATAAATTGATGAGACTTGTTTGGGTTACCTTTCACTAAATGTGTTTTCCTTCTTTGCCTCTTGAAAAGCTTGTTCCCGGCCCTGGTTCTATTTGTACTTATTTACTATCACTTTGTCCTTCCTCTGTATATCAATCATTTGGCTTGTTTCTTGGCGGCTGTTGAGATTTCAAAATACTGTATTTGTGGTGTGTGTGGTTGGCAATTTTGTGCTGAACTAGCTCGATTTTGAAATTGTAAACAGCTATTTCTTTATTGAATGCGCATTATTGGACAGTTTATTATATTTATGCAACCTTTATACAATATGACTTATTCTGGTTGCTAAGGTATCATTTTTGGAATAAATGCCAGAACGGCAGTGTTCTGAAGGAACTCGTATAAAACATATGGAAAATGGGTACCAGTCGATTTGTATAGAAAAACAATGATATATTTCTCACATTCCCGAACAAAAATTCTAATAGGACCAAAGCCATCCTGATTAGTCTCTGAGAAATAGGGGAATAGTTTATCCGATTTCGAGAATTCAATAGACCAACTCGCTTTTTAAGGGCTCAGAAACGTCTCGAACGTTTCCTTGTCTTTGATTATAACCTTCACAAGGTCAAATCAAGGTTATATTCATTTTGAAGATGAAAGGGTAAGCGCACTGGTGTGATCGTTGCTTTTTGTTGCGACTTAAAATTTTACTTCATTCTGGCCGATAAATAAGTCATAGAAGTTGAATCGACTAGTTAAGTAAGGTTTCGACTGCCTCGGCAGCCTCTTCCAAAGTAAAAACCAAATTAATGATGTATTATCAATAATTAGATGCTTCTAATAAATGTGAAATTACAAAATTTCAAGCTGTCAACGTTAGCAAATCCTAACCAGTTCCTAACTACGTATCCCAAACTCCTGGAAGCTGATGCAACTTTACTAGAAATATGATCTTTAAAGCACAGTTTACTATCAAAGACTACGCCAAGGTATTTGAAGCTTTCAACTCTTTCAAGTCTCTGGCCAGTTATGTGATAATTATAGGAGCAGGTCGCACTTAGTTGTTTAGTAAATGTTAAAATTTTACATTTGAAGACATTCAGATTCAGGTTATTCCTACTGCACCACGACTAAACGGCGTTTAAATTTTTCTGAAGTGATAAACAATCATCTTCTAACGTTGACTTGTGACAAGTCATTGAGGTATATTAAAAAAACAAAGGACTACATATAATTTTCTCCCAATCAGATGTGATTTCAGTAGATTTAAAAGACCTTTAGATACACCAGCTGCTCCTAGTTTTGTCAGAAGTAGGTAAAAGTCAATTTGATCAAACGCCTTCTGTATGTCAGTATAAACATCGACTTGCTGATTATTGTCTAAGGAGTCTGATAGGAATTGAGTAATGCAGGCTAATTTTGTTGTTCTAGACCGTCGTGACATTAACTCCTGTTGAGTACTGACTATGGTTATTTCAATAGAGATGCAAATGTTATCATACAAGATTATTTCCGAAATTGCAAAGGATGGCTATTTGACGGTAGTTTGGAATGTCAGGTGCACCTCCGCTTTTAAAAATGGGGCAAATTTTTGTCTTTTTCCAAACTGTCGGGTATATACAAGATTTTAAAATGAGTTAAAAATGACAGATAGAGAGTCAGCAAGGATATTTATAAGGATATTTATACAGTCTTTAACAAAGAAACTAGGAATATTGTATCCGGAGGTCATTTTTATTTTCAACTTTTTAGACGCCTTAATAATGTTTTCTTCGGTAATATGATACAATGAAGTGATGTTGTTAAGATTCGAATTAACGCTTTTGAAATTTGATGCGCCAGACTATACAAATACATTAGCAAAATGGTGCCCAAAAGCATTGACTATATCCTCAGGGGTATCATAGGTGTCATCATTATAGAACATAGTTCCAGGCATCCTTGCCCTTTTTTACAATTCACAAATGTCCAAAATTTAGATGGATCGGCAGCTTTGCTGTCCTCAACATTTTGTATCTGTGCTGAGTAAACGGTTTTAATCTGATTTTTGATGGTAGCCCGGAGTGACTTGAACTTGGTATTATAGACATCATTACCATACTTCCTGTAGTTCTTTTTTGCCCTGTCCTTTCTTCTGATGTTTAATATTATGTCACAATCAAACCATGGTGAATATTTATTTGATGTATTTCTGTACTTGGGTATTTAATTCTCCATAATCATCACTTGCATTATTCATAGAGGACCAATCGGTATTCATTATAGCACTATACATC